TCCCACTCACAACATTCCATGATTCTATGAATCTTTGACAAGGCAGTGATGCTGACATAAACCATTTTTGTGGAGACAGAAATGTCGTAAACAGGCCCAGAGATAAACCAGCCATGCGCAGAAGAAAAATTCAACTAAAGGGCACAGTGACAAAAGTTCCTATGACCACAGACTGGTTTGGGTTGAAGGGACCTTTCAAGGTCTCTAGTCCAACCCCCTGCAGTGACAGGGACATCTTCAACCAGATCAGGTTGCTCAGAGCCCCGTCCACCCTGACCTTGAATGTTTCCAGGCATGGGGCATCTACCACCTCTCTGGGCAACCTGGGCCAGCATCTCACCACCCTTAGTGGACAAAATGTCTTCCTTACTTCTATAGGTCTAAATATGCAACACTGTGAACAACATCCAGTAAATAACGAGGTCTTCCAAGATGGACATTAGGCCAAGTGAAATAGTGCAACTGGGCTAGATGACTTAAATTTTCTGGCTATAAACTGTAGCAATTCACCAGCTGTATGCAGTAAAATACAAGTGAAGGGGTTTCCCTTGAGATCTGGTGTTTAAACTTGTGGAAATAACGGCTTTCTTCAAATCCTACAGCCCTAAACAAAAGATAATGTGACTTAAGGATGCTGTGGAAGTGAAAAAGAGATGAACAAGAGGTGAGAGTTACTTAGACAATTTTATTTATATCCCCACTCCCCAGTCACGGGGTTCTGTAGCTCTGTCCCTTGTGCAAGGATTTCTTTTTCAGGTTTCCCACACCATGCAGGAAGGAATTATGTTTGTTCCGTAATAATAAAATCTGTCCACAAAAGCTGTAAACATTATTATGAGTCTTTTGTTATTGTCTCTTCCAAACACACACATAATATTTGTATCAAAGAATTTCTAGGTGACCTTTAATGTCTAATCCCTGACTCAATCTCACACTTTTTTCTTTTTTTTTAAATTTTTTTTAAGCAAAATACCTCCATGTGAATGTTTTTATCGGTGGCATCTGCCAGAATCGTCGCATTCCCGTACTTCCAGCCCCTTGATTAGGAAGTTAAAAAGATGCCTTGTTATAATCCCGCAGGGATATTAAACTTCTGCAAGGTCCAGCTCTTGGTCTGAGGTCCCTCTGCTTTCACACCTCAAGCAGCGCAGAACCTCCGCAGCATCTCACGTGTCTGTGTTTCAACGACACCCGCCCGTCTCGTGGAGCGCGAACGTCGGGGCGCCTGTTTTTCTTCCCCGCTTGCGTCTTTGCGTTCAACCCGTCGCGCTGAGTGTGAGTTGAGAGTCTGTTCTGACCCACCAGCTCTTTTTAATAGTTGCACTCAAATGCAGAATATCTCCTTAGCCTGCTTGGCTTTGTGAGTGTAGAGGTGAGCAGTTCCTCTTTTATCATTAAGACTCTTTGCAAGTAATGCTTTCTTTTGGCTCACACATAAATCAAGGACAGCAGTAAAACAAGAAAGGAGAATAAATCTTCTGATTGATGGCAGCCAGAACAGATTCTTTCAGCTTTTTACGCTTGAGTTCAGTAATGGCACGTAGCTTTTAACATTTTTTTTTGTTGCACTTTCCTAGCAAGCTGTCCATGCTCTCATTCCAAACCGTGCACGTGACATCCAGCAGCTGTGAGGGTCCCGTACAAGTGACCCGGTGCAGTACTTTTCAGGGCTATCAGTCACTAGGAAATCCAGGCTATTTCACAGAATTTGTCATTTTCCTTCTGAGATATTCTGCAGGATTTTGATGAGATTCTCCATGCCAAAAATATAGCCGTGGTCTGGCCCGTCGTAAGTCGTGTGATTGCATTTGGAGCCTTTAAAAGTGGTGTGGGCAAAGTCTATCATGCGGACGTCAACCCTGGAGTGATGAGAGCCGTGGGACATGGTGCAGTTTGTTTTTTGGAAGTGAAGGTGATTATCCAAGGGTGCCGTGTTCTCCTTGTGCTCCTGTCCATCGTAAATGATGAGAAGTGAGCTGGAGTAGAACCTGTAAGAGCTTTGCTTCCTAATGACAGAAAGCAGAGCTTTTAGCCTCAGGATGATGGGCTCCAGCAGATCCGTTCGGAGGTGGTTCCCTTTGCACAGGAATTGGCGCAAGGTTTGCCTGAACCCCTCCGGTGAGAGTTTCCTGCCGTAATATTTATCTTTGCAGAGAAAATGGCCAGTATCCGCTTGGTAAACCTTGAGGAAAGACAGAAACAATCCTGATTCAGTTGTTGGGTTTTCCCAAAGCTCTAGATTTCACCTTAATCTAAAAAGTTCAGCCCCAAGCTGAGGAATGGGACACAAATCCTCTGCAGTTGAGCAACAATGGCCATGTACTGCAGGCTCCTCACTGAATCCTACCTCCTGTCTTTTCTGGAGATTTAAACTGTTCAATTTAAACCACTAGTGCAGATTCTTGTTGTACTGCTATAAATTACCCCTTTGTGAAACCCAAATAGCTGTAAGTCATCGCCCTGTCACCAGTGATTTACAGCATTTTCCCTCTGGCTGTGTTAGGAATTTGCAGTAGCTGTAGGAATACTCCAGCTTTGTACCTTTGTACCTTCCCTCAGTACCTAATTCCCATAATCTTCACTTTCTTAAACACAGAGAAGACAAGATGTAGATAGAAATTTGTATGTGAGGCTCTGGTAACACTGAGTAAGAAATGAGGGAATGAATTTAGAAGTACCTCACATGCCAATTGTCATGTAAAGTATAATCTGCTCATCAGAAGGATGTCAAAGACCAGAGAGGGACACAGGGTTTGACAGCGAGTGTTTATGCTGCTCTATATGTGCTTTATAATCATCATTCTCATAATTATCCTTCAGGCAAAGCAGAACAACATTTGGAAACCTGCTTGAGAAGTGTGTGAGTGAAACAAATGCATGGGTTTGGTTCTGAGGAGGAAGGGCAGCGATTTTGAGCAAGAGGAACCATATTATTTAGCACAAAATAAACCCTTTGCTCTTGCGGGGACAGGATGAGGCAGCTCCGCGAAGGCACGAGCAGGGCAATGGGATGCTCTTTTGTTTTGCTTTTTTTATGCAGCAGCCAAAACCTGAGCATGAGAGGGGAATACTAGGAAGAAGATATTAGATATTAGGAAGAAGTTCTTCACTGTGAGGGTGGTGAGACACTGGAACAGGTTGCCCAAGGAAGCTGTGGCTGCTCCTCCCTGGAAGTGTTCAAGGCCAGGCTGGATGAGGCTTTGAGCAACCTGGTCTAGTGGAAGGTGTCCCTGCTGCTGGCAGGGGGGTTGGAACTGGATGAGCTTTAAGGTCCCTTCCAACCCAAACCATTCTATGATTCTATGATTCTATGAATCTGTTCCCTACAAAGCAGATTCTCTGCTGGGATCAACTGGTTCCAGCTGCTCATACTGGTGGTGTGGGCACCAGTGGTGGTGCTTATGCAGCCACTGCTTGTGAAAGAAGCCAAATATCCAGAAGGCAAAGAGGCATTTGGGGAGAGGGTTACCCTATATGTGCCATCTTCTATACTCCTTCCTAAGCTTTGTTTGAGGAGAGGACACACAGCTGAGTGGCCAGTTCTTACAAGCCCATGTTTGGTGGGAGACAGGAATGAAACTGCTTCAATTTACACCCATAAAGGAAAGAACCCCTTTAGATTTCCAGCCTGGTTTCAAGCTGTGTGTTGGGCAAACACCAAAAGGATGAAGGATGGAGGCTTCATCTTACCTGCATCCCACAGATGCGAACTCCCAATGATGCAGAAGTGCTCTGTTCACACTTCTTGATGTGCCGGGCTTTCTTCTCCTCTGAGGCATCATCACCGTGCTGCCGGGTTCCCATCTTCAAGTCCAGGATGCAGGGATAGTTGTATTTAGAGACCACATTTTCAAGCAATAGAAACTCTGAATATGAGTTAAGGGAAACCCAATACTTTGAAATTCTAATCGAAAGAGGTCTTAAATCAGAGCAACTGCTGACGCTCTCCATAATAGCTCACAACTGTAATGAGACTTTCTGAGCCAATTTTACCAACATGTCATTGCTATAGGCCCCTTGCTGCCAATTGCAGTTAATTTACTGTAGTACAGTCCTACCAATTAAAGCACCAACAGCTTCATTCTCTAGTGACACGATCACCCCGGGCTGTCAATGCAACACCTTGCCTCAGTGCTCTACTCACTCCAGTGGGTGTGGGGGAAGTTGTTAAACTCTTATTACTCACATGACTGGTGGGTAATGAAGTGTGATAGGAAAATAAAAGGCGAGGTAGCTGCTAATTCCTATATAGTTGTGTTTTTAAATGTATGCCAAGGGGATCCTTGACTTACGCTGAATACTCTTTATGGGAAGTGGGGTTTTTTCTTTGTCTTTTTACCTTTTTTTTTAGATTAGAATAGAATATTTCAGTTGGAAGGGACCTACAGTGATCATCTAGTCCAACTGAACAGCGAGAGAAGATAACAGAGCATCTATATTCTGTATATTCTGTATTTTCCCAGGGACTAAACAGAGGAGGGCTGCACACCCCCTGCCATAAAACAGACATTGATTACGAGCTGTTATTTGTAGCCAAGACTTTGCTGGAGGGGAGAGAGGAAAAAGGATACGATGAAGTTTGTTCTCATTATGCTTGGAGGACATGCGGTTCAGGTGCTGCCTGTGACAGTGAAGTCCCCAGGGGTTGTAGCTCTTTCTTTCTGGCTGGTTTCCGTTTGCATCTTCCAAAAGTGAATCTGTGTGGTACTGAAGGTCTGTCCTCAATAGCATCTTCCCCGGGCAGCTAGACAAAACACACAAAAGAACACGTTTGGTTTCTAAGCTCCAGAAGAGAATATTCCCCCCTCTCCTCTTTTGTAGAGTCTCAAACTTGATAAGGTAAATTTTCAGGGACTCTCAAAGGAGACATATTCATCACATCTAACCTGCAGAGATCCTTTGTTACTCTGTAAAAGTAATTTTCAGACGGTCAAGCTATTGCTGGGTGCCAATATTTTCTTTCATTATAATTTCAAAGTGTGCTTGGCTCCTATGAAAAGCACCGTTCATAGCGCCGATGGCCAGGAATCTCGATTTATCTACCCAACGGGCACAACACAGGCAAATTGTCCAACAATAGGAATGATTCCCAATTTAGAGGGGCTGGTTTCAGGGAGGGGAAGGAGGGAGGGAGCAATGAGGAGATTTGTTCTCCTTGGAGGGTCATTCCTTGGTCTTGTTCATCCAAAAACTGTAACTCCCATCACGCCGAGGGCAGTGGTTTCACGGTAGCAATATTGCACCCTTCAGTCATAGCTGACCTAGGTCTTTTCTGAACCAGTTCAAGATGAAGCATGGCCTCAAGTTGTGGCAGGGGAGGTTTAGATTAGATACCAGGAAAAAATTATTCACTGAAAGGGTTCTCAGGCACTGGAACGGGCTACCTAGGGAAGTGGTTGAGTCACCATCCCTGGAGGGATTCAAAAGACAAGTAGACGAGGTGCTCAGAGATCTGGTTTCATAGGGGACAGGTACGGCTGGACTCGATGATCTCAAAGGTCTTTTCCAACCAAATAATTGTATAATTCTATGTCTTGCAGAAAAGAATAGAAGCTGAAAGCTTCTGCAAGCCCTGAGGTCGTGGTGTGCTTGTAAACATGGTGATGGCTTTCGGAGACAGCTCTCCCCTGGGACAAGGACAGGATCAAGCCGCCTCCAGGCTGCTGGTTACCAGCAGAAGGGGTGTTACGTGCTGTGTGCTTGGTGGCTGTTCTCATGGGGCCTCTCCTTTTGGAGCACAGAAACAGATTTAAAGCAGAGTTTGAGGCACATATTTGAGCAACGGCATCTCAGCAATAGCCAAATCTGCCCTGCTCCATCCACAAGCCAAGGAAGAGATGAAGCCACCAAGCTGGGCTTTGCTTTTCTTCACCTTTAGCTGGGCATTGCTTTTGCTTACTTTGCCTTAAACCAGGAATCATGCCACCAAAACCATTCAGGTTAGACCCAGTGCGGTAGGTAAGGACCAGGACCAGCAGACCCTCACCTGTCTTTGAAGGTTTTGGTGAGTTGTGTGTGACTCCACTTGACGAGCGTGTGCTCGCTGCCGGTGCTGGCAGCCCACTTGCACTTGTGCCATATTGTCACCGAGGAGTCGCCGATGGCGTTATCCAGCCGGCCGCAGCTCTCCGTCTGCAGGCTGGGGCTGGCCATCAGGGTCAGGTTGCCGAGGCTGTCCTTTTTGAGGTGCACGGAAACAACACCTGGGCAAAAAAAAAGGGGAAAACCAAACCAGAATGAGTTTAACCCTTGTGTTACCATACAGGCTTGGCCACTATCTACACCAGCCCGAGGTGGTCCAGCCTTCCTGAGAGGGCTGGTGCTTAGCAGGACAGCTGCCTCCTTGTGTTTTAGTGGCCTCTCACACTGATCCTGCTCTGATTTGAGGTCCATTTGAGTAAACACCATTAGTCTGAGACCCTGGAAAACAGCCACAGGCTTTTCTAATGATCCCTCCTCTCAAAGCCCAGCTTGAAACTTGCTTCCTCTGAAGATCCTGTTCCTTTGACCTCTGTCCCTCCAGGCTCTGCTATGCTGCAAGTGACCCAGCAAAGACCCCCGCGTTGGACCCACAGCTTATTAAAAACAAGGGATTTAGGTCTCACTTTTTAAGACAGGGTAAGGTTGGAAATGCTTTTCATTGGCAGGAAGCAAAGGGAGGATTGAGGACCAGGAATTTTCCAAAGACAACCAGTCTGCCAACTGCTTCCTTTAATGGGAGAGCACCCAGGAACACGGGCAGAGGCATGTGCGTGGGCTGGCAGCGCTGCCTGCCTATGTGATGCCCGTATATTGTCATGGTCGTGTCCTTCCCCAAGTGCCAAGCAGCACCCAAAGAGCCAACGGAGGGGGCTGGATCCTCACATGTCCCGTGTTCATGCACGAGGAGAAACATGACCGCGACGGGGGATTATTTCCACTTTCCACCTGAAGTGCTTAAAACACCATTATGTATTTTAGCATCACAATTTTCCCTGACTCTAACTGGAATCACAGGGCTCAAATACCATTCAGCCCATCACATATTTAACCCAGACTCAACCCATCCCTGGCATGGAGACAGTTGCCTCCACGTCTCAAATGACAAAAAAACATGGCTCGCGTACCAGACCGCTCTGACCTTTCTGGGAGAGGTTGATAACCGCAGTCCTGCTCCTACAACCCTCTGCCAGGGCTGTCTGAGGCTCTCAAGGCAGCTGAAGCATTTTTAGAGCATCATCCTTTGGGTCCCAGAGGGGATGCCAGCTGCATGAGTCGCCCGCAGCAATACCCTGCTGCTTTCAAGTCTATCTACAGTAAGGCAGATCCACAAGAGGATGGTCAAGGCTGTTGGACCAGCAAAACTCATCACTGGAAAGAGCACCCCGTTAGCAACACATGGAGTTGGGTTTTATCCAACTGTCCCCAGGGTACCCTCACTTGGGGCACAGCGGGGAGGTGCATTTCAGCAGCTTAACAAACAAGGGAGCTCTATTCTCCCAGGCAAATTTTCCAAAGCCAATAAATACGCAAACTCCTTTCTCTCCACTTGAAGTGAAGTTATAATAAGTAAACACAGACACGAGGATTTGCCCTCCCTGTGTGTGTGCAGAGTCCTGCCCGCTGAGTTTTGCTGACTGAGGGAGGTTTTCACCACCTGAATTACGGGAGCCCTGTGTCCCTGCAGCCACCCACCACCTCTATCAGACTCTGGGTGCCCATTCCTGCACCCCATAACCCCACAGCTCCAGCTGCATTCAAGTGTGCAACCCTCCCGCCCTCTGTGCAGCCCCTCTGCTCAGGTACCACAACCATTTCTGTTCCCTTTTGCTGTAAAATCAGCATTAATCTGAACAGTGTGCCATGGCAGGCTCAGTTAGATCAGCTAATTTTGCACTGAAATGAGGGAAGAATACACCCAGGCTGCTTTGCTAAGGGAACTGAGGGGCTGGAAACCTTAATTAGGGGGGTAATAATATTTTTAGCTGTCTTAGTCCTTTGCTTATGGTGATGGTGAGCACAGGGAGCTCTTTCTTCCTCAGGCTCCAACCTGATCTTTCCCTGAGTCCCATTTGTAAAAAAATCCATATTACAGATAACTGAGAGCAAGTGAAATTCCAGATAACTGAGAGCAAGCGAAATTCCTATCAGCTCTGACACCTGCTTTGAATTTTCAGGGGAAGTAGGCAGAAAAAAAAAAAATTAAAAAAAATCTAGTGTATCTTTTGCCTAAATCAAAGCCTTTTTATTTTTAAAAAGTCACTGCCAGGCGAACAGAGTCCTCGATTCCAAATCTAGCCCTCCGCCTCACTTATGGTGCTATGGCAGCCTGTAACCTTAAAAACTGCCCCAATTACAGATCTGCAAGTCAATGGAGCTGTGCTGATTTCCATAGTGCTGACAATCTGGCCCTGAAAAAAAAAACCCCTGTTATATATAACATGAAACTAAGAGTTCTTAAGTATCTTAAATTAATATGATTCCAAAGATTTTCAAAGGTAAGGATGAGCCGTTAAATTGCAAGGGAATGATGATCCTCTCGCTGCTTCCAGCTGAAAATTCACCTTTCATAAACCTACATCTCAGCCTGAAAAATACTCTTGTTTCCTGGGGTGCTTCCATACGGGTTTTGCAGACATCCTGCAAGTGACTTACGTGTCCAAATAAACCTAGAACACACGGCTAACGACCTTCTCTTTTGTTGCACTAAGAAAACACCTATTTAGGAGCAAAAGTGTATTGAGGTTCTTGTCTTTGCTGGCCTTTTAGTGTCCCTGAAACAGCAATATCCCTCCTGTCCCAAGCCAGCGAGTCAGCCAGCGGGTATTTACGGGTGCTGTCACCATACTGGTGGCATCCCAGTGGTCCTCAAGAGTATTTTGCTATGTAGCTCAAGCCTCATGGATTTCTTTCTTTTTAAATTTACATTTAAATTTACAAAGTGCATTTATTTACTGCCACATCCAATGGGAATCTGAGCAGAATTGGACTTGAAAATCAGTCCAGCCTCCCCTCGCAAGCTCAGCTCAGAGGTTTGCAAGGGTTTAGTGGAAGGAAAACTGGTCCCAAGGTCACCAACCTGCCTGAAATGGTTAAGCCAAGGGTGGATATTTTTTTTAAGCAGCCGACACGGTGTTAGATTTGAATGATGACATTTGAGCAGCATTGCACATAATGTCACCATTACATAATGGTCCCCGAGCCGTCCCCTGCCCCGCAGCCTAAGAATAGAGATGAGGAACATGGACACGTGTGAACGAGTGATGAAGACCTCAGGATTATTCCCTGTGATGCTCATCCTCTCCATCACCCTTGTGGGAAATTGTTCCACCTCTTTAATTTGCCTGGCATTCAGGGGACAGTTATAAGCAGAAAATAAATAAATAAATAAATAAAGTGTGTGCCCAATGCCAAAATGGAGAAAAATTGTGATTTAATTACCCCTCGTGGCAAAACTCACTGGGACTTGCAATAAAAGAGAAAAAGAAGTAAAAAAAAAAAAAAAAAAAAAAGGATTAATAACTGGGCCACCCCTGAACTGATAAACTGGGACTGCTTAACATCTTTATTAGAGAGACAGAGCTGGCCCCAGCTCTCCAGCACAGAACTCTTGGCCCCTGCTAAAGAAAATTGCTGAGAGGGAGACTTGTTTTCTTTCTTAAGCATCTTTTTAATATTGTTCCATAAATCTGCAAAGGCCCCTGACTTCCTGGGGAAGGGAGAGATTGGATTGGGAGTGCATCGAAAGCAGGGATGACACTTTGAGCTCTTTTCTGTAATGCTGAAGGACCAAAAGATATTTTTAAGTTTTTAGGTGACAGCTGAGCTTCTCGCCTCTCACAAAAACCCAGGGTCAGGAGCTTTACGAGCAGCACAAGTCTGGCAGTAAAAGCAGAAATAGTGAGGGAATAAGAAAGGGAAGGAGGGAAGATGGCTTTAAAAAATTGCTGGGACCCCCCACAGACACCAGGAGCTGATTTTTAATTGTTAAGCTGAGAAATTCAGCTGGGAAAGTGGTTCAGGGTAAGGAGAGTTAGAGCCAGGGGAGGTGTTTGAAGGGGGGGACCAGGCAGTGTTGGGGGCACCAAGCAGAGGGGCAGGCAGGAGGATTCCCCTGTCCCAGGAAGGTCTTGTTTGTGGCAGGAGGAGCTGCCTGGATGTGATTGTGAAGATGTTAAGTGGTCTGTGCATCTGGTTTTCTAGGGACCAGTGCTCAAGGGCTTGGCTAAGGTGGAGCAACCACCAGAAGTGATGCTTGATACATCCCTGGTTTTTCAGGCTCAGTATTTCATGGTGGCCTCAAGGACCATCTCTCCCCCAGTTTGTGCTGGTGCCAGCCTTGACCCTTTCCTTGCTCTCACCAACTTTTCCACCTCTGACACAAGCCTTCATCTCTAAAACCAGCACGTGGAGCAACGGGGCCACACACATGGGGCAAAGGCAGCCTGAGCTCTGCTCCTGGTACAGAAAACCTCTTTTATCAAGAGATGCTGATTCAAAGCTCCACCAAACACAATGTGTCAGATCTTGGGACTCTTGTTTTGAACAAAACTCTCCCAGTCCCTGCTTTCCTGCACCTATTCAGTGCCATCAGACCAACCTATCTGTGGCCACAGCCTGCAAAATCCTCACAGCAAACACAGATGGGAAACCCTGTCCTATTCCTGTCCTTTGTTCTGGGGTTCTTCTGTGTTTACCCTCTGTGTAAAGAGGGTAAACATGATCCCTGGGAAGGGATCATGTTCATGTTCTCAGTCTCCATCTTCTCATGCCTTTTCCCCCCAAGAACAGACCCATTTCGGGCCTATTTGGCATAAAAGGAGTCCCCTGTGTTACCAAGGCTGAGTCCCATGGCAGCAAGGGGATGGGCAGAGAGGAGGATCACCTGGTGTCATCAGCCAGTGCTCAACCCTTGTTAGACATCAGAGACTCCCCCCAGCCACAGAGACTCAGGAAACCCAGTCACAGACCTGCTCCATGCACACTCTCCCCCAAGAAGCATCCTCGCTCAGTAAAACCTGCCCCAATAATGGGGCTCCACAGCTCAGACCCACCCCAACCCATCCAGCCGGTACCTTCCACGCTGCCACGCACCCCCCCCAGCCCTCACCCCAGTCTCAGGACTAATCCTGGTGACAACACCAACCCTTGGCTCCTTCCCCAGCATCTCCTCTTACCTTTGTACTGGGGTGTGAACTGCCTCATGGCCAAGGGCAGCGACTCGTAGAAGCTCAGCTCCTGCGAGACCAGGGGCTTGCAGACTGTGTGCTCGTCGTACTTCATCATGCTCATGTGGCCGCCCACCTGATGGACAAAGGGCTCCAGGAGGACGGTGGTCCGGCTCTCATTGGGCTCCCGGGGGCTCTGCCCCCTGAGTAAAAGGTGGCCGGGGGGCTCGTTCCTCTTTAGCAGCAGCGAAGGAGGATTTGGGATGTACTGTGCTGGGCCAGTTAACACCCACTCTGGGCTTTCAGTGAAGGTGTCTGCAAAACAGAGGGTAGGGGGGAGAGTGAGAGAGGGGGACAAGCCACGATAAAGCCACTGGTAGGACTGGGACTGGGAGCACAGCCTGGCCCCACACCACCCACCAGCAGGATTGAGGGCGCAGCGGGTGGGATGAGATCTTTGAGTGCCTGGGGGCTGGCAGGGAGCCCCAGCCTGAAATGCAGAGTCCACCAAAGACCCAATTTAGACCTGCTGGTGCAGGGGAGGGGAAAAAACAGAGAGGAATGAGCGAGAAGAGCTGTCAAGTCAATGTGGTGGCCTTGACAAAGCAGCTGGATCTGGACATTCCCTGGGCTGGTGGCACCAGGTTATTAATACGCTGTATTAGTGACACCCCTCGCTGTGAAACAGCCCCCGTTTGCCTTACGAGACAGCGTTAATGATGGTCTCAGTCCTTCCCGAGCTAGGACATGCCTTGCAAAGGAGGTTTATTAATAAAGCCTCTGCAAGCTCACCTCCCCGGGCATCCCTTACCTCTTAACACTGCTAATGGGGTTAGTGACATTTTTTGCACCTTCTAAAATAACCTCAGTTTGGGACATTCTCTGTCATTTAACTCCAGAGCTTTCACAGGAGTGTTTCCCCCACGTGACACAAGGACGTGTCAAACCAGCACCGAGATGGTTCACACCCAAGCACCAGCATCCCTGAGCTCTTCAAACCCTCTACTATAGTCCAAGGGAGAATCCAGCAACAGATCCAATCCTGATTCTGTCCCTCAAGGAAAAATCCTCCTTGATTTTGACAACAAAAAGTCTTGGCTTTAAAACAATAAGGTAGGAAAAGCACAGACATGGACCACATCTGTGCTGGACTGCCTTGGTTTTTCTTGCAAGTGCTCAGCAACAGCCACTTTTTCACTTTATTCCTTGCAAGAAGCCCATGGATGGCTCTTGCTCTGGTGGATATTGGGCAGGGGAATGCCATAGCCACTGAGGAAGATAAAAAGGCAGCTGAGATTATATTTACACTGAAGAAGTGATTTGGCTTTGTACCACCGAGGCATAAAATCAGAGGATACACACCAGACCCCAGACTAAAAGGGATGGGGAAAATAAATAAAATAAAATAAAATAA